TTTCATTACCCAGCTAGGCAACATCTTCAGCGCACTGAAGATGTTACCTAGCCGGGTAATGAAACATTTGCAAAAAAAGAACCAAGCTCAGAGAACCCCAAGGACTTCACAGTTTTACATTTGTTGGAGGCTGGGTCTTACTCTGCCTGCTGGATCCTGGGATTTCTCTCTTCCCTCCTGTAGCTAAGGTACCTGACCCCAACTCTCCTCCACCCCTCCAGGCACTCCAGTGGGGCAGTTTCACCATTTATTCCCACAACCACCCCACCCCCAATAGGTTGTCTGGAGGGTCAATTTTTTTCTCCCTTTCTGCAAAAAGCAAAGAGAGCTAAGGAAGAGTCAGTGTGAATGAGAGCGGGATGCAAAACTGCTGCCAGAGATATGCAGGGCAATATGGTGACTGGGAGGAAATAGAGCTATTTTATTATCCAGGAAAGGAATGTTTCAGTAGGGGAATGCTGTTTTTGTGAGGCTTTCCTGAGCATTTTTTACAAAGTGCCAGAATAATCCTTTGGTATCTATTCAAGTTCTAGTGAACAGTGTTTTTGATTTTTTTTTTCCTTCTGTAAGTTGTTTTTTCCTGTTTTTTTCTTTATTGACTTGGTGTAATGGTTTTGTTGATTTTGGGCTGATGACTTTGTCTTTGAAAATAATTACCTAAACAAATACTTGGGCTAACGAGACTTTTCTATGAATAATACTGCAGAACTTGACTCCAAAGCTAGCATTTTTGCTTGCCAATGTCCCTGCTTTATCTGTTTGACAAATAATGAAACATGCAGTTTTGATGATTTACTTGCTGTAAGCAAAATATAGCTCTTAAGCAACCTGCACACTTACATCACTGATGTTATACGCATTGACTTTTGCCAAAAGAATCTCAGGCATATCTGGTGTGATATGAATCTGCGTCTTTTCCGCTTCCCAGTCCTTTTTGTAAAGGTGCTGAAATAGAATGAAGGAAATAGGTGTCATTGAAAAATAACTTTGAAATAGACCTCAAAACACATACTGCTAAAAAAAAAAAATCATAATAAAACCAATACCCATAATTTAATTTAATTTTATATCAATCCTTTGGTGATTGAAAAATATTTCATCAATCCATTTTACCTAGTTAATTAAATTATTTGGTTAATTGGATTGAATCTGTTAAATCTGAGTAAAAGCAACATTTGTGAAAAAAAGATGAGGACTTTTCTTTGTTTCCAAAGCACTGGTGTAGCCTCATCTTAAATGAGAATAGCATCATCTTAGAAAAGGTATTCTGTCCTATGAATGAAAAAAATGGGCATGACTTTTTAACTTTCCATGGGCAGTTCTCATTAATAACTTGGATTAAAAATTATGGATGCAATCCAAACTAAACCTTGCTTACTCAGCCCAATACAGTATAAATCAAGTGTTAATTTTGGTCTCATGTAGAATTAATCAAACAAGAATATTCATGTGCTGATGGTAATTTGTTTAGCTATACAAAGATTATGCAGAAAGATCCTCCAGTTCCTCTGGAAATTAATGATTGTTTCTTTTGTTCCGCAAAATCCTGGAATAATTAGTCCAAATAACAAAGATTCTCATGCCAGTATTTCTGCCATAATATAAGCAAATCTCTTTTGAAAAGGGTTATTTTGAAAAGAGAAGTGAGACGTGGGTTTGTGAAAGACCCTCATGTGCATTTGCTTGTTGATCACTCAGTAATATAAAAGAAAACTTAGCCACATCATTGGGAGAAAAACAAACATGTAAATGTCACCTTAAATTACATGACCAAGAGCAGTATTAGCATCTTTTTAAGCCAGTTACATCATAGCAATTAGAAAATATTTGATAGAAGTCTATGCACCACTTCAGCCCAAATTATACTAGTAACTAATATTGACTAGCTCTGAAAGTAATGATACTGATGACACTTGTTAACCTAGAAATATCATACAATCCATAATCAAACCTATGAGCTAGAAATATATGAATCACCAATGTATACAACTATTGGCAAGCTGCCTCCTATATAATTGCCCTCTCTTACAGTATATTTCTTAACATACTGTAGAAGAAATAACATACATTTCTTAAGAGCTAAATTCTGTCTTGCATGTGTATACCCATTGAATCAACAAACAACAGATTAATTTGTGCCCAATTCTCACAGACTCATTCAATGACCTTGGGCATAGAGGCTAATATATTAAGGCTGCTGACTCTCACATCACTTTTTAGTTCTTTGGTTTTATTGTTTTTGGGATGAATCATTTTACTGACTGCAGATATTTGACTTATATAATTGTGAGCCATCTGAATCCTAGCAAGTAAGCAGATAGATAGATAGATAGATAGATAGATAGATAGATAGATAGATAGATAGATAGATAGATAGATAATTCTTTGGCTTACTTCGTCCATTATTTTTGCATTATTTGTCGCCAGGACCATTGGCATAGAATCCATTAGAATAGAATATTTCAGTTTGTCTGGATGTTGTCTGTACTTCTTCTCACTGACAATCTCCATGGCTTTCTTATTCTTTTCAGCTTCTAGAGATCCTAGTGGTACCCATCCAATCCCTTTCATGAATTCCGCATAGTCTGCTTTGTACTGATTCTGGAAGCAAAATGAAAGGAAAGCTTATAAGAAATGTTTGGAAAAACAACTTTCTATATTTGAAGAAAAGATTGACCTTTTAATCATAGTTTAGTATGCAGAACCCTCAGCCTGGGTTATAAATGACGTTAGAAGAGAATAAAAAGCAAGCATTTTTTCCATAGACAAATGAAAAATATACATACCATTGTTGCAGTGCTACACTGTTTCATCATTGTGAAACTGGGCACATGGCACATTAATTTGAATTTGTCTGTGTATTATTTCATCCTGTGATTTTGCATGTCATGTGCATTATAGCATATTATGAGTTATTAGTCTTATACACCAAATTTGTTTCAGGAATTCAAAGTAGCATGCACAGGATTCCCTGTTCTAATTTTTCTCCATACCAATACTGTGAGAGAGAACTGGCATTTATTGTCAACTCACTGGCTGTGTTTGGGACAGTCACACAAATTCGCCCAGGGAGCTAGGGGTAGACCACAGGCTTAGACCATGGTGTTAACTATTACTACTACTCTGGTATCCTAACCTTTAATATAAAGAGCAGCTCCACAAGACAGTCCATACTTTAAACAAATAATCTTGTTTTCAATAGTGCCATTCTATTCCCCAGTAAATCCTCTTCAAATCTACTCTAAATTTGCAGAGGGAAGAGGAGCCTCAGATATTTCTATCCTGTAAATGGAAGTTTGATAACAGCCCACTGGATATTTTCTATATCCTGCTTCTTCAGGGGAAAAGCTAAGTTCCATGTGTAACGAAAAACAGTTCTGGTATATCTCCCTAGTCTTCTCTCCCAATTGCAAAGTAACACATACACCAGAATTTAAAGACTTGAATTATTTCTGAGCAGTTATCAAAAGTTCTTCCTTACATCACTCTGTATCTGCATCATATTTTTGGCCAGTTCAAGGTTCATAGAATCAGGCAAAGCGCTGTAAGTGTGGATAATATTCCGGTAGTTGGTATCCGTTGCCACCTCCTGCGCTTTCTTGGCTGCCACGACGCTGAGCATGTCCACGGGGGTCTGGAACCGGGTCTTTGATTTCTCATAGTCCTTCTTGTATTCACGCTCAGACTGCATCTTTGCAACTTCCATGTAGTGCACAAGTTTAGGATCATCTTCTAGGCTAAGGAAGCCGATCTGTTTTCCCTTTGATTGCTCAAAGGCCAATTTGTATTTGTACTGGAAGCCAGGTCGAACAACAAAACAACACACGTACGCACACACAGACACACATGAAAGGAAGTTCAGTTAAATTATTCATTGACAGAGGCTGATAAAGAATTTGATATGTGTTACTGTATAGATAAAATTTTAATATGTATGCAACATTTCCTAAGTCTTCTGATGTTACAATTAAAACTCAGCAGGAATTGCCAGGACTGTTCCAAATATTTCTGGATCTGTAAAAATACCAGAATGTTATAGGCACAGGAATATTTATTTTTTGAAAGTCTACCTGCAAAACAAAAGCCCAACAGCCAATCAGAATTTGCTGTTCCTGGGCAACAGATGAGCATAGCTGGCCAATCAGTGGTTGCCTGTATCCCACCCACCCCAGTTTTGCACAACAAACCACTGCCCTGTGTAAACAGAGTAAAAGATGAGAGTCTTATAAGCACAACTTATGCTCCTATATTCTGGCTCCTTTATCCAGTCCCAACATCCAACTACCACACTGGGATGCCAGCAGCTAAAAGGCAGGGTATATCAATCATCACTTCCAATCCCTGTCCTCTCCAAGGAATGCCTGATGCAACAAATCTCAATCAAACACTGTCTCTTCTGCTGTGGCATTTCCTGCTTGCAAACAAGAAGTGAAAACCCTTAAGATTGCAACAGGAAGATGCTGGGACATAGCATGACAAGTGACCATTCTGTAACAGCATCATATAATGGCCAGGGTGGTGGGCCCAAATTGAATATAATCAGAGCTGAACCTCTGTCTGGAAATCGCCTAAGTGACGCATCAACCATAAGGTTGGTGTAACATAGAATTAATCTTTTAACAGTTAAATGTCATTAATCCCTTCCAAATCAATAATATTAACTCATGGGTTGGGTTGTGGCATAATATTTGGGGAAAATGGAGTAAGTGCTATTTTTCTCCAGTAGTAAGACAGAAGTCTGTACCGATTATCTTTCAACATTTCCCTCTGGTGAATTCCCTGGAGATCATGAAAGGTTTGTTGAACAAAAACAAAGTTCATTAACTTTGTTAATGAAGCAATCAACAAAGAACTGTACTGGGACATAATTATTTACTAGCAATTATATAAAGCCTCCTCTCTGATCCATATATGTATATATATGCGCGCACACACACACACACACACACACACTAAATTATATTCCTGCAGGACCATGTTTGACCAGGTAACAGGATATCTACATAATCTATGAAGCCCTTAAAAATTCTTTTGAAAGAAATTCCTCAGATTTGCCAAAGAGAATTCATGCTTCAGTGAACACAAATAGTCCAGACAAATACGGGTGCATACATTTCGATATCAGGGAGTAATTGAAATGGTCAGACTAAGAATAAATACACTTTCCCTCATAATAAGGCAATGTAAAAATTAAACATACATCACTGGCAATATCCCTGGAAGCTTTAGCTGCTCTTATGGAGAGAGCATCCGGTCTTAGATCATAACCTTTCTTCTTCTCTTCTTCCCAGCCAGACCTATATAATTTCTGTACCACAACAGAAGGAAATATGGACAAAGGGTTAGAACTCTTTTTTTAAAAAAAAGATAAAAAAAGATAAACAGAATGATGGATATGTATTTTCGGAATTTAGCCAAAAAGTGACCCAATATTAATGTACTGATATATAAGTCCAATTCTGTGCTTAGCTTACATCACTCATGGTGATTTGGTTGGCTTTGGACAGGAGTATTTCTGGTGTATCAGGCATTACATGAATGTCAGTCTTGTCTTTGTTCCATTTTTCAACATACAGCCTCTGCAGTTTAAAAAGAAGAAGTTTAGACAAATCCCATTTTACTTTTTTGCATGCTGCCAATTTATTTGCTCACACATTTTGTACCACTAAGATACCTTTAACCAGGCAAAACAAAACTAAATCTTTGGTTTATCATTGCTTTTGTTTCCAAAACTAGAAATATGCTATCTTTTTTGTTTTTTTATTTTTTTTACTAAACATTAATGAAATGCTTAATTTCTTGGTTTCACAAAGAGGCTAGACAAACCCACAATAAAAGAATGTAATCTCTATTAGATTTTTTTTTTGATAACTCAACCCTTAATTGAATTTGTGAATAAATGCAATATGGGCACTATTGCTATATCAGATCATGCCCCTGCAAGATTACCACTTACTACAACAAATAGGCCATTTTTTCCTAAATGGTTATTTTAACATATCTATATTAGAGGATCCAGTTTTTGTATAACTAATATGACAAGAGTTATAAGATATTTTTTCTTTTCAATTGACCTTTTATTCTAGTTATTCACTGCCAAGCTGCTGGAGACAGGAGTGGGGTCACTTAGATGAGCTCACAAGAAAACCCAAGACAAGAAAACAAGTATTAGAAAGGTAGGAAGCCATATCCAAGACAATTTTGGCAGCTACGGTAAATCAGGATATACTGTACCCCTATTTATAGAGAAATTTCCCAGCCTAACTAATGGATTATTTGGGTCATTCTTTCAAGCAGGTTGGCTTGTTTTCCATCAGCCCTTTGTTTTGGCAATGGTTCTTAAAAAGCCACATTATCCTCTTTTTGTGTACATAGCCCATAGCTCATATTGTAAAATCCCCTGCTATCCAAGACAATATTTTCCCAAGGAATTACAATACACATCTTAATTAAATTCAGTTCAGTTAAGTTCAGTTCTTCCACCATATTCCAAGTGGCTCAGGGCAACATATTTGGATTTTCCTTTTATTTTAACAAAAATTCTATTGGCTACATCTAGTTACAGATACTTAGGAACATACAAAGAGCTCTGCTGGTTTGGTCAAAGGTCCTTCAAATCCAGCTTACCACCATACCCATCCAGAAACCTCCAAAAAATTAAAAGGCAAAAGGCAAAGGCCATAATCATCCCCCATGCAGATAACATCTAATTTAATTTGATACTTAGTCATCCTGGACAATTACCAGAGATAGATTTCATTGCCACACTTTACGATAGCAAATTTGTGAATATACACTGTGTGAAGAACTACTTTCTTTTGCCAGTAATCAATTATTCATTCAATGCCATGGTTAAAACCTAATGAGGCAATTGAGTGGTAGAACTTCCAATAAGTGCTATCTAATAAGAATTAAGCACATCTTTACTAGATCATTTCACTATAGCTTCTGAATCCTAAATCTGTCCCTCAGGGGGAAAAAATCAATGTTCCTAGGACAGTTTGCTTTTTCTTACCTTATTCATGAGATGGGCATTTTGCTTAGCCAGCACCTGTTCCATGGCATCCATGTCAATGGTATACTTCAGTCTGTCTGGGTGATGACGATACTTCTTTTCGCTGAGAATGTGAGTAGCATTCTTTGCATTTTCTACCTCCAGAGACTGAATTGGCACCCAACCTAATCCCTTCAGCCAACTATTAAAGTCAGTTTTGTAAAGATTCTGAAAAGAAAGCAGGGAGAAGAAATAACTTAATGTGAATCAAATTGTTTTGTTTCAGTGTTCATAATATCCCAAAATAATTGCAGTTCTACCATGGCATAAAGTTGAAGTGCAAGCTTCATGCTCCAGCCCATAGAAATGTTGTGTACTGAAATGATAGCTTTTGACCAACACCACAGAGAAAGTCTTCTCTCAAATTGATATGTTAATTACTCTGAAAGAGAAATCCATTCCCACTGTTTATGACTGTTTTTTAAATGTTTTTAAATGTTTATTTATGAATGTTTTTATTTTTATTCTTGTAAGCCACCCAGAGTCACTGCGAGTGAGTTGGGCGGCCATATAAATTGCTTATATAAATAAATAAAAACATATATAAATTTTGAAGATTGGACCCAGCAAAAGTCTCTCTTGGATGGAACACTCATCAGTGGCAATTTTTTGATCCAATAGTTTTTCCAAATGTACGATTACTTCCTCTCTATACATGGGAGGATGGAAGGATGATACACTGAGTGTCTCAGTGGGAGGAGATTGGCCAAGATTCCTTCCCCTTTTACTGGCAGGAGAGTTTTCAGCAGAGCTCCATTCAAGAAGCACAAATGTAGTGGGATCCAACTATCTAAGTCTGTGTATGGGAACTCCTGGTGAAAGGAAATAGGTGAAGCCTATCCCATCCATCCAGAATTAAATATCTCTATAATTTACTGAAACCCATTCATCCCACAAATTAATTGTGGCCATATGAAAAACATACTCTCTAGTAAATAAAGCCCAACATGTTTTCATGTCAGGACAATCAACCGTATCTGAATTCTATTAAAAACGCTGCCCTGGTATTCTCCAAGCCATTAATTAGCTTCCCTAATCTTAGGTGCAACGATGTTAAAAATGACATACATCACTCTGAATCTGCATCCTGTTTCTTGACAATTCCATACTCATGGCATCAGGAAGAAGGGTGTAATTATGCAGAGGTTGTCTGTAGTTTGTGTCAGTAACTACTTCTTGGGCTTTCTTAGCAGCCACTACACTGAACAGGTCTAGAGGCAAGTTGTATTTAGTCTTGCTGCTTTCATAGCCTTTCTTGTATTCACGTTCTGATTGTAGTTTTGCCACATTCATATAATGGACCAGTTTAGGATCATCTTGCAGGCTAAGGAAGCCAACTTGCTTTCCTTTGTCTTTCTCATAGGATTCCTTGTACTTGTACTAGAGAAAATCAAAACAAAGATGTTTAAGCTATTGCAAAATGAGCGGACACGTGTACCAAATCCACTTAAACTATACTAGGAATAGCATCTCAACACTGGGTATTTATTCCTACATTTGTTTCCATTTGATTACTTTCTGGCTGTCACATCTTTCCCATTGTTGCTGTTGTTAAAAAAATGTCCCATTTGTGTTCAGTTATTTTTAGAGCAAACCAGAAAACTATATTCTCCCTTTCTTGTTTTTCTCTTGTGCTACTTTGCACTTCTCCTTTTCCTCCAAGCCTTGCCATTTAAACACATTTTTTGAAGTTTTTAAATGAAGGTTCATTTTTCTCCATTCCTTGATATGGAAGAGCGAGAAAATGATAGACAGTAAGCCTTCCTCTTTGGCAAAAGATCAGGATGGGACAAGTGGGTCTTGGAAATTATCCAACTGATCATCTTCTAACAATAAAAACTAACAATAAAAAAGCTTTTAAAAATAATGTCAATATTCTTCTTGGGTTTATTGTCCTTTTGTATTAAAACTTTATAACCAATTATCCAAATATGAATTAATAAAAATCCCCCTTTACTTCAGGCTAATGTTATTATCCTTATGAACAAAGAGTAAGGTGAACAAAGAAGAAAAAAAATCAGTACTTCATAATCTATTGGAAATATACATTTCCTTTTGGAAAAAAAACTAAAATGCTATTTTGAAAAAAATACAGCTTTTCTATATTTAAAAGTGCTCACTGAAGATAATTCAGACAAGAAATAGATCAGAATATTTGAAGAAATAGAGCAGAATATCAGAATATCTATCAAAAAATAGATCAGAAGCTACTTGGAGTCTACTGATTCTTCAGACACAAGAACATGTTCCTCATAATATCCCAGACCTTTAACAGAATGATACACTGTTATAATACGTTATTAAGCAAAAATTATGCTATACTATGACTGATTCCCTAAAAAAAGGTTAGTGGGAAAGCATCTTACTTGTATAAAAAAAGTCCAGGATAAAACCTAATAATCGTAGTTTACGAATCAAGTAATGGGGGGAAGAAATAACATTTTTCTTAGGCTTCTAAAGAAAAATATCTACCAGTACAAGGCTGGATGTATTAATAGCCTGAAAATTTGTATGTTGAAAGCACCTTAAAAGATTTTATCAGGATTGACTTACATCACTGGCAATGTTGCGTGTAGCTTTTGCAGCAACTATAGGAATAGCGTCTGCTCTCAGGTCATAGCCTTTGGCAAGCCGTTTCTTCCAGTCTGCTTTGTATATATTCTTAAAGAGAAGAAATGATTTTTCTTAAAACCTCTAGTTAAGTTCCAGCAGTGAAGACCTATGAATATTCTTACATTAACATGAGGGCTTTTTTTAAGTTGAGAGTTACAATTAAAATGAATACAATTTATACCCATTTAACTGAACAAAACACTAGTCTTTTATTTAACAAGAGGTTTAAAAAATGAAAAATACAAGTATAAAATGAATGCACCAATTTTGGTTTTCCAACAATAAATAACTTACATCAATTTATGTATTGATGTAGACATCAAAGGAACTGTCAAGTACTTACGTCACTTATATTGTAGGCATTGACTTTTGCTTGAAGAAATTCCGGTACATCTGGATCCAAATGGTATGTGTGTTTTAGTTTCTCACCTTCTACCTTATAGTTTAACTGAAAGAAAAACAATATATGCATCATCTTTCAAGCAGGTGCACATTTTAATTTAAAATTATGTTGCCTAAACTGGTATCCTCCAGATATATTTGGACTGTAACTCCCAGAATTCCTAACTACTATGGTCAAATACTGTACTGTCTGGAAACTATAACCCCAACATATTTTGAGGGATTAAGAAGCCTGCTTTAGAATAATCAAGCTATTACCATACCCATAAATATATACAGTTCATCAAATTACTTAAAAAGCTAATCCTCTTTGAATATCTAAGCATTTAACAATTCTGACTAAGGCAAAATTCTAGAAATAGTTGGATAAAGGGAAATTTGTACCCAGAGTACATATAAAGACTGCTTGGAAAGCTGTCAGCATAGGATAACAAATCCAATTCAGTGCTGTATAGCTGGGGATTTGCAATTCTTGAAAGTTATATGGAAGAGCCTCTACAGGAATTTCTTACTTGCTTAAAATTAAAGTGCAAAACTGAAGTTTGAACCAGCTCAGGATTGATGATCAACATTTTAATATTCCACTGCATTATTTAAGACTATAATTTAAGAGAAGGTGGATTATGTCCTTTGGGTTGAACTTACATCACTCAGCTGTTTGGTATTCCGATGAGCCAAAACCATTGGCATAGAGTCCATCAAACTTGTAAACTTGAATGTGTCTGGGTGCTGGCGATATTTAGATTCATTTAACGCCTCTCCAGCTTTTCTAACTTTTTCCATATCCATTGAGCCCAGGGGACTCCATCCCACTCCTCTGAACCAGTTGTTGTAGTCATCTTTGTAAGCAATCTGGAGAAAACCAAAAGGAGATTTAAAGCTCTGGAAGCTTGGGGAAAACCATTTCAAAGGATCAGGAAGTACATATAGTAGTTCTCAAGATAAGCAGAGGCACCCCAATGGGATGCATTTATATTTTTTAAGTTAAATGTTTCAATATCCTTTTCATAACATACAGATTTGCAGATATTATGTTTACACTTCCATGCATAGGTAGGCAAAGTGAGAGACAAAATCACTTCATTTTTAGGCTGTTTGATAACAGTATTTCCATAATTTTCTTCCAAGATGGACTTCTTTTGTTTTTGTCACTCTACAAAAAATACTAGCTATACCCATAATCATAAAACATTATTTATTCATTTTAGACTGAGACAAAAGCTCTTGGGAAGCTGAATAATGTGTTTCAGCCAACATTAGCATTCAGTTTCAACAGTACCCTGGGACCCCCAGGCTTGGTGACATAGCTAGTTCTTGAGGGACTTCAGAACATTAACAGGGATGGAGCTAACCTCATTTCAGGGGGAAGAAAGTTCCATGAGGTAGGTGCCATGGCAGAGAATGTTTCAGCTCCCAATAAAGAGCAGTTTACGTGAGGGATTCTAACATTCCCAACGGCTATCTCCTTCCCCTTTAAATCAGGGTCCCGACCCAAACTGTTTTGCCAAATGTGACTTTAGGAAGGAATCTCCATCTATCACACTGATGAAGTTATCTGAAAAACTGGGATGTATCATCAGTACAGATGGGTCTCCCTTGCAGGATTAAGCAGTAGTTCCTCTGGGAATGAGAGATAAATGAGAATCCAAGGACCTGTTATATTCCCACACCTCCCCTTTGGTAGCACAGAAAGCCATTTTAATGGCTAGAGCATCCTTAAGAATGACCAATCTGACCCAGTGGTTAAAAACAAAGGAATAAAAAATTAACTTACTCTTAGAAACAATTCCAGAAAAAAAAATCTCATTGCTTGCTATGTAAACTCTAATGTCTACAGTATATACGTAAACTATGTGCCATCTCTGGGGAATTGTGACTTTTTGAATATTGTCCTACTTACATCGCTCTGAATTTGCATCCTGTTCTTGGCCAGCTCCACATTCATGGCATCTGGCAGGTAGGTGTAATGATGAAGCAGATGTTTGTAGTTGACATTGGAGGCTACATCCTGAGCCTGCTTGGCAGCTTGGATACTGACCATCTCCACTGGCGTGTGATAGAAAGTCTTGCTCTTCTCATAATCCTTCTTGTACTCACGCTCAGACTGCATCTTTGCCACATTCATAGAATGGACAAGCATAGGATCATCTTGCAAGCTTCGGAAACCAACCTGTTTTCCTTTTGTCTTTCTGTAAGCTTCTTTGTATTTGAACTAGAGTTCCAGTCAGAGAGACAAAAGAGAGACAGTAGTTAGGCCTGGACAGTGAAACTTGGTATAGAACCAGCCAAGAAAAAAATTCCCGAGTAATTGGTATTTCACCACTCATTTTTATATTAGTAATAAAGAAAATCACATTTTAAGTGAACCACTGAGTTGGACATGACAGGACTCCTTCAAAAATAAAAATTCCTATGATAGGAAAAGTGAAATTATGCCTGTACAGGTATTGCTGGATTATAATCATGCTTTCCTGCAGGCTGAGCTGAGAATCTGAAAGCCAAGAATTTCTGGAAGTTACTATTATAGTCTGTGCAAAAGAATACATACAGATGACCAAACTGCTGGAGATGGGAGAAGATATATGGCATAATATTTAGTTCTGTCTATGTTGTGCAATAATCTGCTCCCATTTTTTTCAGCAATTTTAAGCTCTTGAACAACCACTCAATAACTTCCACTAGAAGAAGCAATGACAGGTTCACACCTGTCTTCAGTAGTGAAAAAGGAGGTTAAAGCAATAGAATGAGGGTGGCAAGAAGTTCTTTGATGGCATTGCCAACCTGAGACAGTAGAAATTCTGAGCAAGAACATTTAACCCTAAGGACAGATTGATACAACACAGAGAAGGTAATGTGTGAGAAAATATTTTTTTAATCATTTACAAGCTAAGAGCAACTTTCATAATTTTGATAGTACATACACAGAACTTAGTAGGGTTACTTACATCACTAGCAATGTTTCTTGAGGCCTTGGCTAGAGTAATTGGAATGGCATCAGCCAGTACACTGTGTCCTTTGGCTATGAGGTCATGATAGCCATATTTATAATAAATCTGAAAAAAGAACATCTTACTGATTTAACAAGTCATTTTAAGTCATTGCTGTTGATTAACTTAGAATCCAGTAGTCTATATAATGCATTTATCTGGGCATTCTGAATGTACACCTTCAGGTAGCCCTTTCTGGATTATGCTTGATCTATTGGATTCAAACTATGGCCAGTTATGTCAGCAGAGCCTCCGTTGTCATGACATTCAGTGTTTGATCCCTCCCTTTCTTGTTTCCCTTCTCCGATAGGAAAAAAAGGAAAGCACTTAGCTCAGTACATCATGTACAAGTGATAAACAATTATGTCATCACATACCAAATATGTTGTGTATTTGATTTTCAGAATATCAGAATAATTTTTTTATTATCAAAACCTGCATTATTTACCACAGAATAAATTAAGCGCAGCCTTTGAATAGTCACTTACATCACTGAGATTCGCTGCATTGTATTTGGCCTGGATAAACTGAGGGGCATCTGCAGGCAAATTATATGTATGCTTCATTTCTTCCCCGGAGGATTTGTACAGTCTCTGAAAAGCAAGGAAACAAGACAATAATATATCCTGAAGTTCCTTATTTCAACACTCCACAGTTGCATTGATGTGCTATTTAAGTGCATAAGATTGCAACCTATGTGTAGTTATTCAGGAGCCATTGAAACAGTAGGGTTTTTTTCCCCCATGGGAGAAAAGGATGGTCATATGAACAGGTTATAAGAATTGTCCTTAGAATCAGTTATTACATTTTCCAATGTATACCTTTGCTATAAAGTAGCTAAGTTGAATCAATTAACAATTATAATTAATCAGACAACAGCTTCCAGATCATCATAAAACCTACAAGATCCTGGTAGGCTCACTAGCAGAGCAAAGATATCCAGAAAACTAGATTTTTAAAGGGGAAACATGATTAACTTAACTTCCTTCAGGCTGAAACAGATGGCTTTGTTGATGACTATTATAGGCTACAATCTCAGGCTCAATCACTTGTGTATATGTTTATTCTTAAAGCTTATTCAATAACTAAAAATAAATTATTTCAAAATATTATTAATAGGCTACAAATCTGTTCATTAGCTACTAGAATGAATATAGCCTTATGGAATTTAGCTGATAAATTCTGGTTATCTTGCTTCCTAATTATGTTGTTAAAGCTGTAACATATATACTTTGTATAAATTCTAAGTATGCAACTGTATATGTTAAATCAAGAGATGTGTTGGTCTTTCAGGTACACTTTG